AAATTCAGGGATCTTTTACTTCAGTGAAATTTCTAGGGATCCAGTGGTGTTGAACATGTCAAGATATCCCTTCTAAAGTGAAGCATAAGTGAAAGATATGGACCTCTTACAACCAAGGAAGAAATCTTGGAACTTCTTAGCCTCCATAATTGCATGATACAGTTCCTACAATGAATGAATGAATGTATGAATCCTATTGGTTTTGTTTCTCTGAAGAACCCTGACTAATTTACTTGCTCAGCATAATGAAGATCAATTTCTATTAAATTATCTCTCTCTGTATCTCTCTTTCTGTGTCTCTCTCATCTGAATTCACATGGTACATATGCACCCCTCTAACCCTTTAATGATATTTATCACATTCTTTTTACCTTGTTTTCTAGAGTTTTGTACCCATGTTATATGATTTTTATTGGTCTGAAGGCTACTTGAAGGATAAAAGACCACGTATTATTCATCTTGGTATTCCAACAGATCCTCTAGAAAAATGTCATGCACATTTTGTTTTAGTCTATGAATAAATGAATGATAAAATAAACAAGTACTAATCAAAGTAACCACAGCAGAAAGCCTGATTTATGAAAAGCTCCTATGTAGCTTTCTTTTGGAATTATTTAGATGTCTTTAAAAATGAGTCTATATCCTTTATGGTATGAATGCTTAATGAGGAAATGAAGAATGGATGTGGAAAATATGTGAAGAAAAGAAACCATGAATTCTTTTTATTTTCAAAAACCTGGAATATAGTTTAGGCAGTCATGACTAAATCCAAAACCATACTTAGAATTAATTAGTTCAGTAAAATAATCAACCAATTTAGTCACAACAAATTTTTTCTATCTTTAAAAAAAGATTTTTTCCAAACAACGATGTACACATTTTACATCTCATTCACTTGTTTTGAGCCTGTTCAGTTACAGACTAAAATAGATAAAAAGGAGGATCATTTTACACCTATAATTACTAGTTTAGCCTTTATTTCTGTGCTCTTTCCTTTTAAACTCACTCTCTCAAAATCTTGCCCATCCCCACACCTTAACTCTCTGATCTCTACAGATAACCCATAATCCTGGAGGTCTTTACTTACAGAGTTAATCAGTCACAGTATTAATTCCTGTTCACAATGCCCCTTAATATTCATTTCTGAAATTATTACCTTACAAATTTCTGTCTGAATTGCTGCTGTAACCTCCCAGCTAGGATCATTTGTTCCAGTCTCTGACATTTTCACCACATCACTCAAGAATATACAGTGAAATTCTGAGGCTATGAAATCTCGAATACTCATTTAACTTCATCTCTCTTCACTGTCCTTATTTCAAGAAAGCCAAGAGCCAGAGTTAGCAAGCTGGTAGAACCAGGGCATGAATATATTAGAGGTGGTGCATTCTCCAGGGATCTCAAAGGGAAAAATACCAATTCTCCAATGGGGCAAAATAGACCAAACACAAATAAAATCTTATTAGATGATGATGAAGGTATTTTAAATCACAGTATTTAATGAGTGATATAGGGACAATTGTCACATTTTTTGCTGAAAACAGATGACTTCCCATCTCCCTCATATTAAAATCCAAATTCATTAGTCCATAAGATTGTATGTGGATGTGGCCCTTGACAAGCTCTCTAATCTCATCTCCTCCCATTCTCCACCTTTCTCACCTTCAATCTGGCCACACTAGGCTGCTACCACAAACTTCTGGGCACATTCTGCCTCAAGGAGTCAGCAACATGGTTTGCATCTCACTTTATTCAGGTATTTACTCAAATGTCATCTGTTCTGAGAGGCCTTCTCTATCCACCTGTATAAAATAGCATGGCCAAGAACCTACCCTGTCACTTTACTTACCCTGCTTTACCTTTTTCCAAAGCAATTATTACAACCTGACGTAAGTAAAAAGTTATGTTGGGAGGAAGGAGATAGGAATCTGTCTCTACCCAGCACAATGTAAGCTGTAAGCACTACAGGAGCAAGGACTTTGTTTCTGGCTATTTCCCCCTCCCAAAACAGTGCCATAACCATTGTCAGTCCTGCCTCTGATCTAGTACCAGGATATGGGAGAACTCCAATATCACCATGGAACAATATAAGACCTGATTCTAGACTGGTGGCCCAAGGAAGAGGGGATGACTGTCTGTATCTTCCCAATAGGATATAAGCTCCAAGAGAATAGAGACTGACAGTTTTGTTCACTGCCTGGTCAAGGCTGAGCCCCCTCTGACTCAAAGCAAGCAGGTGTGATATCAATAATGCTACCAGGCAATGACCTGAAAATTGGTTCTAGTCTAGGAGCCCAAAAACTTAGGGGGATAAAGGCATAGTTGAACACAGTACCCTATACTGATTTTTTTTTTCTATCTTCCTCCCACTGACATAGTGCCACATTTTGTTCACTGCTATGTAATCAACCTCTAAAACAGAGTTAGAACTAAGGTGAAACCTTGCTCTGACTAACAAGTTGTGGGATATCCCCAAATCACTGTGAGACAATATAAGGCTTAAGGGCCAGGGGTGTAAGGGTGGCGGTGGCTGTCCACCCCCCCCATTAGGATATATGCTCTAAATGAACAAGGATTTTGTCTAGATTTTTCACTCTTCTATCCCCAGGCCCTAGGCCAGGACTGAGTCTCTCTCTTACCATGTCATCATGGAACAACATAATGCTTGGTTCAGGACTTGGGGTCTACTGGGAGAGCAGGAACTAGGAAGCATTATTATATATCTAAAATGTATATACATTGGTATTTTTTGTTGTCTAAAGACAAACTATATATCCTGTATCCTGTATACACTACCTAGTTTGTCACATTGTATATATGCACTCCCTAACTCTTTAAGGATATTTATCACATTCATTTACCTTGTTTTGTAGAGTTTTATACCCATCTTATATCTTTGTGATTAGTCTGAAGACTACTGAAGGATAAAAGACCATGTGTTAAAAAAGTAAGGTTTTTGTTCTGTCCACTGCTATGTTCCAAACTCTTAAAATAGTGCCAGGATTAGGGCCAGCCTCCGTCTGAGTGTCAGAATGTGGGATAATCCCAATATTATTATGGGAAAATATAAGGCCTATTTCTGGTCTTGAGGTCAGGGGTGGTTGGTGGATATTGGCCCTGCTACAGCCAGCACAGAATCTCCATGAGAGCTGAAATTCTGTCTTTTTTAGTCAATTGCTAGTGCTGTGGCTAGGGCCAAGCCTCCCTGAGGGTCAGAAGTGGTAAAAGTACCTAGAATAGCAACTAGCACTCTAAGGTCAGTGTTATTGGTTGTTTTTGTTGTTGCAATCCATTTCCCAATTCGAATAAAAGAACATCGCTACAACAAAAACTGAAATAAATTCCACGTGGTTTAAAGTTTTTCATGTTGAAATTTTTAACAAACACAAAAAAATTAATACTATTATCAATTATGATTATTTGCATAGACAGGATTCACACCAAATTCATGATAGTGTCTGCATCTGCAGAAGAAGGAAATGTTATGGTACTGGGAAAGAGATTTATTATCTGTAATGTTCTGACTTTTTAAAAATATAAATCTATATGTAAGCAAATATGCCAAAATGTTGACAGCTGTTAGTTTTAGGTAAAGGTAAACAAATGGTTGTTATTATCATTCATATTTTCTATATTATGTTTTAATTTTTCAAAATAAATAAAATACAAAGAGAATTTAAAACACCATTATAGTTGATTTTATTACAATGTTTTCAGAACTGAAAATATCTAGGACATGTGCATATGTAACACAAAAAGACATAAAGTATGTGAATAATACAATCAAGAATCTTGATAACAAAGAAAACCTTAAACTTTGTATTTCACAGAGAATACACATTCCTTTTTAACAGAAAGCTTGAATAAAACAATTACCGTTGAAGAGATAAGAAAGCTGATCTACCATCAAAAGTGTTAACAGGATTAGATTGTTTTACAGTTTAGTATTAGCTAATTTTTAAAGAACAGATACTTCTAATGCTATTTATACTATTCCAGACAGAAAAAGATCGAAAACTCACTAATTCATTCTTTAAAGCTAGCACAATTTTAATAATAAAACTTGAAAATGACAGTGTAAGAAAGAAAAAATACAATTTCACTTTGGAATGTAAATGTAATAATTCTAAATTAAATATTGGTAAATAAAATCTAGCAATGCATCAAATGATTATTACACCATTACCAAGTAAGATTTATTCCAGAAACATAAGTTTGGCTCAACATCAAATACCTACCACTCTAATTCAACAAATTAAAGGAAAAAAAAAATCAAATGATTTTATCAACAGATGCTGAAAAGACATTTGGTAAAATTCAGGAGCCACTTTTAGTAATAATACTGTGTAAAACAGGAATAGAAGAAACTTCCTAAACATGTTAATGGTTGATGACAATTTACCAGTAACCAACAGCAAATGTCATATTAATAGGGAATCCTAAAGACAATTTCATGAAAATTAAGAACTAGACAGGCATGTATGTCATAATCATTATTCAACATTGTTTTGGAGACTCCTGCTCATATAATAATAATCAATATAAACATTAGAAAAAATAAAACTATATTTGCAGGTGAAATGATTGCATATCTAAAAAGTCGAAAATACTCTATTTAAAAAACCCAGTGTAATTTAGAGGATTTACTAAGTTGATTAAATAGAAAGTAAAAATTTTAAAAGATCTGTAGTTTGTCTATATTGCCAAAAATAACAAGTTACAAACTAGGAGGAAAAAATATTCAATTCAAAATGTGACAAAAACTGTAAAAATATTTAGAAATAAATATAATCAGTTCTGATGGACCTATAGGAAGAACATAACACAAAAATAAAAAAGATTTCAATGATGTACCAAAACTCTTGAATGTTTAGGATTAATATTATTAAAATAAACCTCTAAACAAAAATGCAGAAATGTAATACAATTCTAATATATCAAATTTTTTTTAAATGTGGAAAGAATGTTTTCAGTTTTCATATGAAATAATGAATGTCTGGGACAAGTTGTACAAAAAAAGAAAAGAGAAAAGAAGCTAATGAGAGGGGGACTTGCTTTACCAGAGTCCAAAATTTACGATCAAGCCACTATAGTTAAAACAATGTGATACTGACTCAGGAACATGAGAATGGGTGCTTTATTTAATAAATGTGATAGCATAATCATGTATCCAAAGTGAACAAAATGTACAGTTGGACCTCTACCTTGTATACCATATACGAAAATAAATTCCAAATGGCTCAGTTAACCTTTAAAATTAATAAAAATTTTTTGAAAAAAAACATAGGTGAATATTTGTATGACTTGGGTGGGGACATTTATCTGAAAAAGAGAGGAAACCAAAAATCTAAAAAGGAGATGGTAGTCTACCTGAAAACTTAAAAAAAATATCTGTAAAGTAGAAGATACCATCAGTAAAGTCAAGGTTAATAAGAGAATGGAAAATAATCATAACACATATGGTCTACAAATGATTAATATGCATCATATAGTAAACATAGTAAGAATTCCTACAAATCTACAAGAAAAAGAGCAAAGATTCAATAGATAAATGAGCAAAGGACAAACACTGGCAAATCACAAAAGAGAAAAATTCAAATAGTGTAAAAAAAGAACCCTAATTGAGTTTGTCACAAAGAAACAATATTACGTAATTTTTCACCCTTCAGATTGGCAAACATTAAAGAGTACTGGAGGGGATGCCGGAAAATGAGCACTTTCATTTTGGATGGTAATTATGTAATATCTCTTAAAATTAAATATACATCTACCTAGCAATCCCATTTCTGGGAACCCACCCTATAAATATAAAAGCACCAATATGTATTGCAGCAGTGCTATGGTGCAACAAGGAAAGGAAATAACTTAAATGACCATCAATAATGGAATGGTTGAATATCTTTTTGGTACATAAACATGTACTGTGTATGCAGCTGTTATGGGGAGGGAGGAGGAGAGGGAGAAAGAGAAGGAGAGGAAGAGAGGAGATGGGTGATTTATTTAATAAATATGATGGCAAAATTAGGTACCCAATATGAACAAAATGTATAGTTGCACCTCTATCTTATACCATATATAAAAATAAATCCCAGAGGGAGAGGAGAAGGAGAAGAGAGGCGGGGGAGGGGGAGAGGGAGAGGGAGAGGCATCTGCAGCTACTGATCAGAAGGGTTGTCATGGATACACCAAGTGAGAAAAGCAATTACAGAGAAATAATGTGGCTTGTCATTTTTACAGAAATGACCACAACAAACTTTCTGTAAGAGGATGGGGAAAACGTGGAAGGGTATACATCATGTTCTTAACACTTGTTACCTGGGAAGAAAGAGGGAAGGTAAGGAAATAGGAGAAAGGACATGGTGTGGGGTTACAACATTAATTTTTCTTTATCTAGTTTTTCTTTGTTCCAATGGTTGCGAACACTTTTCAGTTTTCTATTAGCACCAATTTAAATTTTCAATTACAGAACAAGGCAATATCAAAAGTACCAAAGTACACTTGGGGCAAAACTGTGGAACTAGTGAATGTAAGATTTGGAGGCACAATAAGTAATAATAAATTCTTGAATCTGTGACACCAAAACTGTTCTCACAAGTTCACAATAACGAGAACACGACATATTTTACATTTAATAGTTCCACAACTTTTGCAAAGAGCACAATCAATTTAGGGGGTTTTCACCAAACCATAGACATAAATGTGAATATCATCATCAAACTTAATGAAGTAGACGGACGGCTTGGCCACCACTTGATGGATGAAAATGCCGGTTCTCTTGGACCCGTCATCTTTGGCGTGCTCCACTTGTTTGCCCACGAGGCTGTCGACCACTTCTCCAGGCTCTCGTTCTGCTGTAGGGAAGTAGTAGTTGGAATCTGGAATGATGCGCAGGTCACCATCTTTGTAGTCATCCAGCAGCGTATACATATAAAGGACCGGATCTTTCTCGTAAGTGATATAAAACCAAGTGTCCATCACCGGAGCTCGCGCCAGGACCATGCCCTTCCATTCATCTTTCCTACCGTGCTCACCCTCAAACACATGCCCCACTGCTTTGCCAATCAGGGAATCTGCCAGGCGCGAATCGATGCGAGGAGCTGGCACTCTCTCAGGAAGGATCTCTAGCGCTAAAACTCTCTTATCTCGGTGTAGTTCTAGTCCATACACACTATCCTTGCCATCATATTTGACGATGTAGAGAGTGGGCTTCACGGAAACCTGCTCGAGCACGGTGCCCTTCCACTGCTCCACGGGCTCATTGCCTTCCTTCCAGCCGTGTTGAATGCGGCAGCCCACTATATTCCTACGGGTGAGGAAAGTAGGCTTGCGCCTCTGCTTCCTGTGGGTGTGTCTTTTCTTCATCAGGTATGCGGACACGCCATCTACGCCCATCGGAGGCACAGTTGGGGGCGACATGGCTCGGGGTTTTTAACGAGGCTCTGGCAAAGTTGAGACTTGCTCGATTAAGCTGACAAAAAGTCAATACTATCCAGTAAGATCTTTTATCGTGATCTGAGTCCCGGTCCGTCCTCCCTTCCACAGGCGCAAGGCGCTCACCAAGGCTTGCCAGAAGCGTTCTAACTCTGACGGTAGGCACTGGGACAGCGTGGACCTCTTGACAGTGTTCTCCTCTCCCTCTCGGGCGGGCTGTCTGCAAGCAGTGGCGGTTGCCGCAGGAGATGGCGGGCTCGCGTGTGCTGCCCGCGCCTTGCGCCCGCCCGGACTCCCAACCCCAAATCCCTGAATTGACCACTTAGCTTTTATCGATGGTGCTGCGGCTGCGGAACGGCGATAGAGAAGAAGACGACGCGAAAGGTAGGCAAGGGATAAAAGAGATGGCTGCAGCAGCAAAGGCGCTGGCGGCGACAGGTCTCTAATGAGTCCGCGCGGCCTCGGCTTCGCAGCGCTGCTCTGCTCGGCCTAGCTCTGGAGCCGGGGTTTTTGCGGCTTTGGGAATTCGACCCCTCTGAGCCCGCCTGCGCCTCGCCCCGCCCCCCCGCCATTCCTCCTTCCGCTCTGCCTGCAGCAGCAGGGCGGGTCAATGCGCGCACCCGCGTTCAGCCTACACAGTCACAGGCGCTCGCTCTTTCATTTCCTCACGCAACCCTTCCCTCAAACCGGAGCCAGACTGGCCGGCTCTCCTCCTCCTTTTCTGTGGGCTGCTGTCGCCCACCAGCCACCTCCATAGCCGCTCCATCTGCTTTCTATCTTCCAGGAATTCCTCACAAAACTTTTTTTTTTCTTAAATAATATTCAACACATACATACACACAGAGAGTTTGTACATACAACTTATTTTCTTTCAGTTTAAGGAATATGAGACCGGAGAAGAAAAAGCCTGTGTACAGTCCACCATCTTGATCCAAGCTCTCCTTTATATTTTCTATCTGATCACTCCCGGTAATGCTTTTTTAATATATTTTTTTTTCTGAATGTAAAAGAAATGTGCTGATACGGTGGATATTCTCTGAAATTCAGTGAAATAAAAGATGAAACCAACCTTGATCTTACCATCTAGACATAGACCAAAATGTTAACAATTCTGATTTCTCTCATTAATAAATCTATGCTTACGTTTTACAAAATTGGAAGCAGATTTCATACCTTTATAGCTTGCTTTTTTCATTTATAGCATGAGCATTTTCCAAGGTTATTAAAGATTCTGAAAGCGTGGTTTTTAATGGTTGCATAATGTTTCTTTGTATGGATGGTCTATTATTTATTCTAAATGGTCTATGACAGAATAGATAATAAGTTTACTTTTATATATGAATTTATTGAGCTAGTATAAACCATATTTTCAAAGAATATTTAATGACCTGCAGATCTACATATGAGATAAGAACACTGAAAAAGCAGGATATTGAAACAAAATTGTGGTCCCAATTTTGTAGAGAGAGAAAAAATGAAATGGTTTTTGTGGTATATATTTACTGTTTTTTTCTGATTATAAAAGTACTGCATGAGCATATGGAAAATCTGAAAGATAGAAAAGAAAGTATGCATAATTTCACCTATCTCAAGTCACAGGGATGTTCTGAGGATTAAATGAGAATGTCTGTAAAACTTTTAGCCCTGTATCCTACTTACAAGATGGCAATAAAAACCAGGGAGTCTAAGCCCCTCATTTTCATTCTTCCACCCTTCACTGGTGATTAAGAGAAGGCCTCATATCATCATGGATAAAAAAAAGGCCATTAATTCATCTGGAAATGGAGGAAAGCAGAGGAGAAAGCTGCAAGGCCGCAATACTGGCTGCCTCCACATTTTATTACCTGCAAGGCCGCAATACTGGCTGCCTCCACATTTCATTACCTGCAAGGCAGGGACAGAAAAACCTAGTCCTCATACAATTTAATAGCTGATTAGGCAGAATATGTGTGGATTCTCCAATTCTCCATGTTTTCTAGGCCAAGGACTTTGGAGATGAGATAACTCTCCAACACTATTATAAGAACGTAATTCCAAGGAAGCCAGAAAACTACGTATACTAAAAGGTATTTTCAGACTCTTTAGAGTGATGTAGTGGTATGTACACATTCACACATATATACAACCTACACACTGAAAATCAGAAGGTGAGTAAGTGTAAATGTCATGACACTATGTTCCACAAATAATGCACCCGCCCCCAAGTAATTTTCTAGACCAAGATATGCCAAGCTTCTGTTGCTTAGAAGAGCAGTTGACAGGTGGGAGAAAAAGACCACCTGTGGGGCACACAAATGCAGAGCAAACAATTCACTCAGGCTTTTTGGTTATATACTTCAATGGAATTCTTGCTTACAACAATATAAAGCAGCCTGAGGAGACAAAAGAATTTCTAATATCCTTTCTTCTCTAAAACTATGATTCTGATGTTTAGATTGTTTCCTAACATTGTGTATTCAGTGGGCCTCACCACACTATCATATAGTGTTTGCTTTGTATGTCTGCCCACTAGCCTATAAGCCCATTCAAGGAGGGACTTTTTTCTTGCATCTCAAATGCCTTACACAGAGTACGCACTCAATAAATATTTGTTAAATGAGTAAATAAGTGGTTTCAGCTGCTCTGTTCCAAACCAAAGAAATCCTCCCAAATGAAGCAAGTAGTCTTAGACTACTGAAGCCTCTGAAGACTGCAGTCCTGGTGACTCAAAATTTCCCATGGCAGCTTTATTTATCCCTTCAGAACTCCCAGATCACTGAGGCAGTGAATGTCTGTCTATAAGTCTGAAGATGATTAGGAGAACACCATCAATGTGCAATATGTGGATAATAATAACATCTACCTCAAAGAGTAGCTGTGAAGATTAAATGAGATAAATACAAGTAAATTTCTTAGCACATGAACTGGCTTATGGTAAGTTCTCATAGTCTCTTAACCAGTCATTCCCTAAATCCAGCCCTTTTCTCTTATCAGATCTGTCTACAAACTACTTCACTCATGCTCCATCACTGACCCTTTGCTCTATTTTATACTCAAGCCTTCTTGGCCAGGGCCTGAGTGTAAATCAAGGAGGCAGTGTGGCAGAATTTTGTCCCTTATAGCCAGTTTCAGAGCAGTCATTCAAATGCTGCACTCTGAAAGCCCAAATTCTGGATAAATAAAACATTATTGAAAATAAATTTGAGAGCTACAGTGATAATTTATAATTGGAGGGGTGGTGGAGATAGGCATAAATGTTGTTAATTCCATGGTACAAGGCAGATTATAATAAATGCTGTGAGAAGTATAAATATAAGTGCTGGGGACCCAAAGGAGGTAGTGATTTGTTATGGCTGGGGAGATTGAAAAGGACAACTTGAAAGGATAATACAAGAAAAGGAAGACATTCAGAAGGTGGTAGAATAGTGAAGTCTTTTCTGTCTAAGCAGAAAACAGCTGGAGGAAAGACACAGAGGGATGCATGGACATAGGATATGTGAAAAACTGGTTAAGAGCTTGTAGCTGGAGGAGCAGAGTATGCTAGGCTAAGGAATAGGGGATGTGGTTTGTGGTGGGAAACAAGGTTAGTCAACAGCCTCAAATGCAGGGAATTGATCTTCCATCCACTGCTGGGTAGAAGCAGATGGTGTTCCAATTCCTCTGACAGTGTAGTGTTGGCAGGACCAAGTAGAGAGCTGATCTTCCATGTCCCATCTGGCAGAACCAGGCAGTGCTTTGCTAAGCAGGCAGTGCTTTGCTGTCAAAGTAGTATAGGTGGTGCTGAGCACAGAGTTGATCTTTCATCCCCCACTTAGTAGAAGCAAGCAGTGTGGCACTCTGATTCCCTTGCCAGAGTAGTGTCAGTGAGGCTTAATGATGAGTTGTTCCTCCACAGTTACCTGGAGGTAGTGCTAGTGACCTCTATGCTATAGTCTTTCCTCACCCTCCTTTCATATCAACACAGCAGCAATGAGACTGAACAACACAGAAGGTAGTCAGCACCCTGGTTCCCCACACCCTTGGTGTTGGTGAAACTCAGTGAGGAGCTGAGCTTTTATGCCCATCCACCATCAGTGAGACTGAATAAGGGGAACAAGATGGTACTCAAGTTTTCCCTATACTCTTGGTGTCAGTAAAGCCCAGATAAGCCTCCACTCTCACTTGGAGGCAATAAGATGGTATAAGTTAGTACCTAAGATTCACCATGAAGCTACTGGCAGATCTGAGAAGGGAGCTAAACTTCTATCTATTACACCAGTATGCAATGAGGCAGTGTGACTCAGTGCTCCACTTTTGCAAAGATGGTGTCAGGAGATCCCACAGAAGCTGAACATGAACACACACTGGACTCTCCAGCTGCATAACAACAGGGAGACTGTCTGATAAAAAAGGTTAAATAGACTACAGAGTGTCATAATATAATATCAAAATGACAAGGATACAATGAAAATCACACATCATACAAAGAACAAGTGAAATTACAACTTGAATGAGGTAAGACACTTAGATGCAAAAACTGAGATAAATCAAATACTGAAATCATCTGAAATAGATTTTAAAGTAGATATCATAAAAATGCTTCAATAAGCAATTATGAATTATCTTGAAACAAGTGCAAATAATAGAAAACCTCAGCAAAGAAATAAAAGTTATAAAAAAGAACCAAATGGAAATTTTAGAATTGAAAAATGAAATAACCAAAATAAAAATCTCCTGGGATGCGATTAATGTAAGATTGGAGATGACAGAAGATAGAATCAGCAAACTTGAGGTCAGAAAAGTAGAACTTACCCCATGTAAACAACAGAGAGAAAACAGACTGAGAAGAAAAAAACAAACAAAACAGTCTCAGGAACCTGTGAGACAATAACAAAAGAGCTAACACTTACAATTGGTTTAAAGGAAGTTAAATTCTTAGGTACAGATCTATCAAAACATGTATAAGATCTCTATATTGAAAATTAAAAATGTTAATGCCAGAAATTAAAGAAGACCTAAATAAATGGAAGGACATACCATGTTCCTGGATTGGAAGACTAAAATAGTAAAGATGTTAATTCTCTCTAAATTGATCTACAAGCTTAATGCAATTTCTAGGAAAATTCAAGCAAGGATTTTTATAGAAATACACAGGATTCTTCTTAAATTTATATAAAAATGAACAATATCTAGTATGACTAAAACAATTTTGAAAGAGAAGTATATAGTAGAAAGAATCATTTTACCTGATGTTAAGGCTTACCACATAGCTAGAGTAATCAAGAAAGTGTGGTGTTTACAGACCAATAGACACATAGATCAATGACACTGAAGAGAGAAGCAGAAATCAAGTTACACATATGTCCAACTGATTTTTGACAGAAGTTCAAAAGCAACTCAATGGAGAAAGGATAGCCTTTTTAACAAATGGTGCTGGAGGAATTGGATGTCCAAAGGCAAAAAAAAAAAAAAAAAAAGACCTAGGCATAAACGTCTTATCTTATACAAAAATTAACTCAAAATGGAAAACTGAGTAAAATGTAAA